TACATGCTTCAAGCAGTCCTAGGCTCTTTGGTTATATTGTTGTTGTTGTTGTTATGTGCCGTCGAGTCAAACCCAACTCATAGCGACCCCTCCTTGGGTTTCCAAGGCAGTATCACTACGGAAGTAGGATTGCCCAACCTTCCTTCCGAGGAGTGGCTGGTGGGTTTGATCTGCCAGCCATCTGGTTAGCAGGCAAGTGTCTTATCCACTATGCTACCAGAGCTCCCTATCTCATTTAATTTCCACAAATCAGTGATGGCAATATTTTACCGATGAGAAAATGGAGACTCTGGTTACTAAGCAAAGAATGTATTAAAACCTCGGAATGTCCACAGTGAACCCTTATGTTCTTTCTATGTACCTGCCAACTTCTGCAATGGCACATGGTATGGGCCTCAGGAGATCTTTCTCCTCTCTCTGTTCCAGAAAGGAAGTATTTCCTGAATGAATTGAGAAAGACATACTCTCTATAGATAAAGAATGTGGCCAATGTGGGTCTGGTCTCATGACCAATGGGCTAGGTCTATTGAGGCATTTACATTTACATGTAGCTTGCTGCCTACATGTGATGGCCAGGGGTAGGGAATAGTGTGGGACATAGTTCTGTTACATGCCAAAAAGAATCACAGGAAAATCAATGTTTGTCTTGACCTTGAAAGTGAATAATCATTCTGACCAAAGAATCGTTGTTGTTGTTAGCTACAACTGAGTCATCCCCTGACCCATGCTAACTCTATACATAATGGAAGCAAATGCTGCCCAGTCCAGCACTATCTCCATAATTGGTTGCAGATTAGATCTTTGTGATCCCTAGGGGTTTCATTTGGCTGATTTTCAAAAGTAGATTACCAGGACTTTCTTCCTAGTCCATCTTAGTCTAGAAGCTCCACTGAAACTTGCTAAGCACCATAGCAACACACAAGCTTCCAATGACACATGGGTGGTGGCTCCACATGAAGTGCATTGGCTGGGAATCAAAACCGGGTCTCTGGAAGGTGAGAATTCTACCAATAAACCACCACTGTGCCACAATTTATGAATGGTTCCTCCTAACCTAGATTAAGGAGCTCTGCTGGCGTAGTGCCTAAGGCATTTGACTGCTAACTAGAAGCCTGCTGGTTCAAACCCACCAGCCACTCCTAAGAAGGCAAGTTGGACAATCTACTTTCCGTAGCGGTATCATCTCAGAAACTCATGGAGGGGTCACTATGAGTTAGATCTGACTCAACAGCAGTGCATTTTTTTAACCTAAGAATGGTTCCTCCTATATAAGAAAGGGAAGAGAAAGAACAATACACTGGACTTAGAATTGCAAAGCAAGTGTGCCAAGAGCTTTGAGGACCACGTCCCCCATTTCCCTTGCCTTCTGTGTCAAATAAAAGCATAGTACTTCTTTGTGACTATTGCTTATGTTACTGAAAAGATATGAAATGATGAAAACACTGATTTCCATTTAGCTATGGGATGATGTAGGGATAAGGGTTTGCCATTACTCTGCAATCAGCAGAGCTGAGGCTCAGTGATTCCCTAGCTGGGAGTCCACTTAACCTCTCTGGAGCAAGTTTCCATTTTCAGAAAAGCCCTCTCCAATTCGAATGGCCTTCATTCTACTGACATCTTAACAGAGAGGGATCCACCCAGTCCCGAATCTCTTCCTCTCCTGAGATTCCCAGCGGAGTACAGCTTCCCGGGAACTGCCCACTGCTTCACTGGAGAAACACATCTGATGCTCAACAAGGGAGCAAGTGGCCCTAAGGAGCCCAGCTCAGTTTCTAACACAGCCCAGTCCTCTCATCAATCCCAGCCCCTGACCATGCCAGCCACACCCCTCACTTTCTAGGGAGACTGTAGGAGTCCCCATCTGACCTGCCCTAATCATACACCACCTGAGGTCCCACTCCATAAGGAGAGTGAAGAGCCTGGGCATGGGGTGGGGGAGGACAAATGCACCTCACCCAAAGCTTCATTATCTTCCATGTTAGTGAACTGCTGGGATTTTTTTCCTCTCCTCTCTTTAAGCAGCTCAGAGCACACCCTAGAGCTTACTGGAAAATTCCAGTAAGGCACTATGCACTCACACTGGGCTTTTATGGAAAGAATGGAGATCAGATTCATCCAGTTTAAAAAAAAGTCCAAGAAGCTCAGTGAAGGAAATACTTTGTCTACTTTCTGCTTGGTGACAAGGTTTTTCCCAAATGTCCATCCATCCACCTATCGATCTACACCTCTACTCATCCAACCACCACCCATGCTCCACCCATTAGTCCAACCATCCAGCCAACAAATACTTATTGAACACCTATTCTGTGCTAGTATTGCATTACTCTGGGAATTCAGCAATAAACAAAACAAAGTCCCTGTCCACATGGAGTTAGCATTCTCACGGGGGAGCCAGATAGCAAATAAATAAGGAAACAGACATAATATTACAAGATTCACAGTTGCTTAGAGACAGTCTATCTTGGAACCAGAGAGGCCCTATGAAGACCCAGAGGGGGAAAATGGGAATGAGAATTTTTTTGTTTTGTTTTTCTAATCAGCACTAAAGAAACCTCTCATGGCGTATTTCTTATTTCCTAGCATAAATGTAATTAGGGGAAATTTTTTTTACAAATAAAAATGTAATTGCCAACTCTCATGTTCTTCCTTTGAGAGATGCAGCTCCCAGCCCTCCTGGAAGCATCAAGGAAGAGCTGCAGCGAGCGTGCAGTGCACGGACCGCCGGGCATCTTCCCAGCCTGGCGCACTGCGCCTGCCCGCGAACAGGGTTAAGGTGGCAGCGCCTGTGCTCAGAGCACTGCATAAGCGGTGTGTCAGGCGTTCCAAGCTTGCTTCAGGTCCCCTGCCTCCCGGCCCTGTGCTGTCAATCAGCTGTCACCCGCCCGCACATCAGCAGCGTGCGCACGTCACCAGGCTTTCAGCAAGGCGGCTGACGAGACTCGGCTCCTTCCTGTCAATCATCTTTGTTTCTCGTCTCCGCTCGGCAAATATTTTGGCTCCGAGAAACAAAGAAACTCTAGGCAAAAATGGCTCATCGTCAGCATATAAGATCTCAAACAGGCGCTGATCATGCCTCACCCCAAATGATGTCGGGATGCCGGGTGGACCAAGGGAAGAGGGAGAACCTGTTTTCTTAGTAGAGGCTTAAAACTGTAATTCTGGTACCCAGAGCAGCCCCTGATGGATTCCTGAACCAACAGAGCACAGGCCCATAAAACAATGATAACGTGAAGTTATCTGAGCTCTTGCCTCAGAAAAAAAATAAAAAGGCTCAGAGGATGGATGGCTGCTTGGCTGGAAATTATTCACCATTGATCAGGCTGCCTTTTGGGGAAGGAATAATTGCTGGACTGCTGAGTTCATTTATCTCCCAGGGACCTCTAACACAGCACCTTGAGAGCCCATCTCTCCTCCTTCCTGGTACAGGAGGCCGCTGGTGAGAGCCTTTGCCCAGGGACGCCAGGTTCACTCATCAGGACCCCAAGAGGCGAGCTCACCAGTGCTGACAAGGGACTCCCTTATGGTGAACAGGAAAAACGCTCTAAAACAGCCTGTCATCTGGCACAGTAGCTTCCACTCTCACCCAACATATTTATTGAAAATGCTTCCCCAGACCAATCAACCAAGCCCATTGCTGTCAAGTCAACTTGGACTCAGGGCAACACCGCGTGTTACAGCATAGAACTACTCCATGGGGCTTTCTTGTCTGTGACCTTTTCAAAGCAGATCACCAGGCCTTTCTTCCTCTTCACCATTGGGTGGGTTGGAACTACCAACCTTTAGGTTAGCTGTCAAACACAAACAGTTTGCACCACCCAGGGACCCGGAAAGGGGTTTCTAAGGGTTTCCAACCCCTTAAAAGTTCACAAGACACAAATCTGAAGAGGTGTTGCTGGCAGTGAATTCCAACCGGGCAACAAGCCCAGGTTGTCTTGCTCTCCCCAGTTTGCACTCGTGCAAAATCATCATATGCATTTATCAGCATATGCATATATGCATACATTAGCATAATTATGCAACTAGAATCATGCAAAAATCCAAATAGCACTGAGCTGTCTTAAGTTTCCCAAAACTAAAAACACACACAAAAGCTTGTACCCTGGTGGCTTTGGGATGCATGCAGCCACAATGAGGTCTGTTAACTGTGTTTATCAGGGGTCTTCCTATCACTTGGCAATCGACTGAATTGACTCATTCATCCTGTGGCTGGTTCTATCCTCATCTCCACCTGCATGACAGATGGGATGTTTTACCCTCTGACAGTTCCTTTCATGTATGCAACGTTGAGCTCTGAAAACGCATCTCGGACATTAATTGCTTTTGTGCTGATGCATCTCTGCCTCTTGAACTGATACCACAACTAGCAAATCTGATCTCTGACAAGTTGGCTGAACCTAATCAGGACAGATCAGCTGTTACCCAAGGTGCCACAGGCTGTAATTTGAGGATTTGTACAGAGTTATCATTCGCCTGAAAGACAAGCAACTATAATTCTGTCAACACTGTGGCCAAGCAACTGAGGAGGCCCCCTCCCTAAGCAAAGACAGCACTTGTCAAGTAAAATACCTGAGATAATTGATAAAAGCAGATTGGAAGGATGTGACAGATATAGGCACTGTGAGGAACATTTTTTAAAGGTGCCTCAGATGCAGAAGGCTGAGTATAAAGGGTGCACCATCAAGGCTGGGGAGGAGGGAGTCACAAGAGAGGGGTAATGAAAACCCTATACAATCCCGATCCTTCTATGGTCGGGGAACTTCGTTCCTATTTCTCTCACTCTGGAAATAGCCAAGTATGCAAACAGTAGAAGACGCAAAGGAAATCTCCCAGAGCAGGCTGGTGGCCACCCGGTGACAGCACCATGACGGGAAGCCAGAGCACTGTCGGGAATGGGGGTACTACCGTCAGGCCATCAGCACTAAGGAATTCTCTTAAGACACCTGTGGTTCTCCTCTCGGCGCAGAAGGTGGGAATGTTAGGAAAAGAAACTTCTTTCTTACTGTATCGCTTTGGTCCATCTTCCAAACAAAATGAAAGGGTTAATGTGGCATCGTCTTCAAAAAACTCTGTGGCAAATGCATCCCACCAGAGGTTGTCACTATCCTGCAAAGAAACAGAACAGTTATTTAATAAGGAAGAGCCAAAAAATATCTCAAAGAAGACCAAGAAAAGGAAGAAAAACCTAGTCATCACATGCTCAATATTTCTCATGTGTGTGGGTATTCTGGAAGGGAGGGGTGGCATGTGGTCACCCTTCAAATTAATTGCCTCAAATGGGGACCGAATTCCAATGCAATAGTGAGTTAATAGAAACTGTATGAAAATTAATTCTCGAGGATATATTTGGGGAGATTTAATAAACGTACTATGGAACACAATGTGACATTTTTTAACAAAAGACTTTGCCTTTAATATAAAATACATGCAACTTCTCTCTCTCTCTCTCTCCTTCAGAGTCCATTTGTTCAAACAAAACTACACTGTTACAGCCAGATTAAGGAGGGTATTTTCTTTACAAAAAGATTTTTTCTAGAAGGAATTTGCGTGAGTAAATATCCCCTGCTTATTTTGGACAAATCATCAGGAAAGAGTAATTCTTAGAAAAGGACATCAAGTTTGGTAAAGTGGAGGGTCAGCAAAAACAGGGAGACCCTCCATGAAACGAACTGACACAACAACCACAACCAGAGACTCAAACACACTAGTGATTGTGAGGATGGAATGAGACTGGGCAATGTTCTGTTCTATTATACAAAAGGTCACCATGAGTGGGAGCTTACTTGACAGCAACTACTACAGAAACCAAAAGGGAGCGAGCTGTTGGGCCCGTGGGTTCAGGACCATGGTCTTGGGGGTCATTAAGCTCAATTGGCATAACATATTACACAAAAATGTTGTACATCCTGCTTTGGGGAGTAGCAACTAGGATCTTAAAAGCTTGCAAATGGCCATCTAAGATGCAACAATTGTTTTTTTCCTCACCCAGAATAAAGAAAAGTGAAAAAAAATCAGATGTATGGAAACGATTAGTCCAAGGGACTAGTGGACCCCAGGGACTTCAGAATACATGGGCCTGAGACCATAAGAACTAGGTCATGCCTGGCTACCACTGCCAACCACTCAGAAAGGAATCAGAATTGAACATCCTGGATACAGTGGGAGAAAAATTTGCAACAAAACTCAAAATCATAAAAAAGACCATACTTACTGGTGTGATAGAGACTCGTGAAACCTCTGACACAAAGGCCTCTTATCATCTTTTGGGACTGGAATTGAACTTATTCCCATGGCTTCCAGCCAAACAATACATAGGCCTAAGAGGTGAATAATTACACCAGACAGGTACACTACTTACATCTCTCAACCACGGTAAATCAGAAGGGAAGCATTTGCACAGAAAGATAGCCCAGAAGGTAGGAAAAAAAGACACAGGAAAACGTAACCAAAAAAAAAAAAAAGATGGAAGGAATACACAGGGTCACTATATTAAAAAGATTTGACAGAAGTTCAACCATTTCAGGAGGCAGCATAAAATCAAGAACTGATGGTACTGAAGAAAGAAATCCAAGCTGCATTGAAGGAATTGGTGAAAACAAAGCTCTAGGAATTGCCACAATACCCACTGAGATGTTTCAATAAACAGTTGCAAGGCTGGAAGTGCTAACTTGTCTGTCCCAAGAAATTTAGAAAAAGGTACCTGGGCAACTGAATGGAAGAGATCCATATTTGTGCCCATTCCAAAGAAAGGTGGTCAAAAAAATGCAAAAATTATCAAGCAATATCATTAATATCATGTTATTTTTTGTTGTTACGTGCTGTGGAGTCAGACCCGACTCATAGTGACCCTTCCTTGGGTTTCCGAGGCAGTATCACTACGGAAGTATATTGCCCAACCTTCCTTCTAAGGAGTGGCTGGTGAATTTGAACCGCCAGACTTCTGGCTAGCAGTCAAGTGCCTTAGGCACTACACTACCACAGCTCTCATTAATATCATACACAAGTAAAATTTTGCTGAAAATTATTTAAAAATGGTCACAGCATTACTCATCAACAAGTTGTCATATGTAATTGACATAATCTCTGTTCCTGAAAGCAGAAGACTTGAAGCACTTATTGATGAAGATCAAAGACTACAGCCTACTGTAAGGGTTGCGTTTCAACACAAAAAAGGCACATTTCCTCACAACTGGACCAATAAGCAGCATCATGATAAATGGAGAAAAGATTGAATTTGTCAAGAATTTAATTTTACTTGGATCCACAATCTACACCCATTGAAACAGCAGTGAAGAAATCAAAGGACATACTGGATTGGGCAAATTTTATGGAAAAGACCTCTTTAAAGTGTTAAATGACAAAGATGTCAATTTGAAGACTAAGGTGCTCCTGATCCAAGCTATTGTCCTTTCAATCACCTCATGTGCATATGAAAGCTAGACAATGAATAAGGAAGACCAGAGAAGAATCCATGCATTTGAACTGGAGTGTTGATGAAGAATACTGAAAATACCATGGACTACCAGATGAACAAGGAGCTCTGGTGGCTTAGTGCCTAAGATATTTGACTGCTAACCTGAAGGCTGGCAGTTCAAACCCAAGAGCCAATCCTTGGAAGGAAGATTGGGCAATCTACTTCTGTAGAGTTACTGCCTCAGAAACTCAAGGAGGGGTCCTATGAGTCAAATCGACTGGATGGCAGTAAGGACAAAATGAATGAACAAATTTATCTTAGAAGAAGTACAGCCAGAATGCTCCTGAGAAGTGACAATGGCCAGACTTTGTCTCTTGTACTTTGGTCATGTTATCAGGAGAGACCATTCCTTGGGGAAGGATATCATGCTTGGTAAATTAGGGGGTCAGCAAAAAAGGGGAAGACCTTCAATGAGATGGATTAACACAGTGGCTGCAACAATAGGCTCAAGTATGACAACAATTGTGAGGATGGCAGGTAATGTTTAGTTCTGTTGTACATAGGGTTGCTGTGAGTTGAAACCAACATGATGGCACCTAACAACAACAAAAGCCAGAAGAACAAACAAATCTGTCTTGGGAGTACAGCCGGAATGCTCTTTAGAAGTGAAGATGGTGAGACTTTTCCTCTTGTACTTTGGTTATATTGTCAGGAGAGACCAGCCCCTGGAGAATGTTAAGATGCTTGATAAAATAGTAGTTGTTGTTG